AACAGCAGCAGCAACACTGCAAGCCAAAAAGACCAAATGAAAATGGATGGGAATGGGATTTGCCATTGTGGACAATGCAGGCGCATTAACGGTGCAGAATATTTGAAAACTTTAGAATAAAAAAAATTAAGCAAAAGAATAATTTTTGGAGTCTTTGATGTTGAATAGGTTAAATATGGCCTCCATTCAATTTGTTAAAAATCCAGGTGATATCGGAATTAGAGCTCAACTTAATGGGTTGAAAATTAACCATACAGCTTGAATGATAAAGTACTCTGTTTATTTAGCTTTGAGAGAAAAGTAGGGTTGGAAATTTTTTTTCGTGGAGATGTCCATGAAAATCTCTTCCTACCATCGAAAAGGGTCTTCTTACCAGAAAAAATAAAATGGTGCTTTCTGGCCCAAGGAATGCTATTTGTATGCATTTCCTAAGGCCAGAAAGCTCCTTTCAATTTTGGCAATAGATAGCTTTGAAGGGGTCCATTGAAAGGCTTCCAAATATATTCTGTGTAAAAGGAAAGGTCTTTAAAAATGTCTGCCTTTGATTGTTCTGCTGCCCTATAGACGATTTTTCCGAAGGTGTTTTTACTATAGAAAGCCTTTTAAGTCTTTTCCTTCAGAAGGGTTTGGTCCATGTGGGAACTTTAAAATAGAAATTCGTTCCATCGAAATGCCACGTACACCAAGGAGACATTTTTAATGAGCCTTAAAATCAATAGACTAACACTACAAGGTTTTATCCTAAGGAGGACATTTAAGAGTTCTACCCTCAATTAAGGAGCTTTCAAAGGTCCTTTCTTAATGGAAGAGTTTTTGAGAAATGCATCTTGAAGATCTCATGAAGAACTTATATCTATTTAAAAATATTTGTAAACAATACTTCTAAAAAATATACGACTTGAAACAATATACTTTATAGTCGCTCAAACATAACTCTAAAAATTCAAAAAAAAAAAAAAAAAAAAAAAAAATCAGGTAAATCAAGAAGACATTTTTAATGAGCCTAAATTTTTTTCGAAAGGTACTTTAACAGAATAACATTAGATGGTCCACTTGTCATCTGTCAAAAAACTAAGACTACGAGGATAGGATAAAACCTATGGAGGACATTTCTATCCTCAATTAAAGAACTTTCAGAGGTCCTTTCTTTATGGAAGAGTTTTTGAGAGATGCATCTTGAAAATCTCATGGAGAACTTATATCTATTCAAAAATATTTTTGAAAAGTATTTCTAAAAAAAATATACGACTTGAAACAATATAGTTTATAGTCGCTCCAACATAACCTTAAAAATTCAAAAAAAAAAACTTTTCTAAGATTGATAAAATATTCTTGAAATATTACTTAAATATCCACGACTTTATTATTGCATGGCAAAGCATAGTCCTTGGAAAATACTCTTGAACATTATTTCAAAAATACAATATTGGAAACTTAATAGCACTTGCAAAAAAAAAAAAAAAATAAATAAAAATAATAATAAAAAAATAAAATAAAATAAAAATAAAACATCAATGAATATAGCCGTGAAAGTCCTTGCAAAGTCTTTTGTTAAAAAAAATCCGCTATTAAAGCCACGATAGCCCTTAAAAATATTATTAAAAAAATATCTACGATTATAGCCTTGAAAGTCCTAAAAAATATTCTTAACAAAATTCAACACTGGAGGCTTATTTTTCCTTACAAATGAAAAGTCTAAATAAAACAGGATTAGAACCTTGATAGTCCTAGCAAAAATATTCCTGATTCTCCTTGTAAAAATATTTAAAAAAATGCAGGATTGTTAAAATATCCTTAAAAATCAATAGCTAGTTCTTGCAAAAGATTCTTTATACTCCTTGGAAAAATATTATTAAAAAAAAACTAACAATTTATGTCTTGATAGTTCTTTGAAAAGTTATCTGAATAATCGCTGCAAGTATATTCTTGAGAAAGCCACGATTAGGGTAAGTCCTTGCAAAAATATTCTTAATAGACGATTCAAAAATTTTATTAAAAAGTCCCCAAATAGATCGCTGTTATTTTTTGCAAAGTTATTCTTAGAAAAATTCAGGATTATAGCATTGAAAGTCCTTTCAAAACATTCTTGACATTTCTTGGTTAGAACTTTGATAGTTTTTGAAAATATTCCCCCAAAAAATCCATTTCTAGTCCTTGAAAAATCTTTTTTAAAATGCTTGCAAAATATTCGTCAAAAATGCATGATTAGAGACTTGATAATCCTTGCGGAAATTATTATTCAAAAATCCACATTTTCTTGCAAAAATATTGTAAAAAACTCCACGATTGTAACCTAAATAGTCCTGCAAAAATATAAAAAATCTGCAAAATGCAAAATATTCTTAAAAAATCCAGGATTGTGGCTTTGATAGTCCTTGCAAAAACTATTTTTATAGTCCTTGCTAAAATATTTTTAAAAAATGACAATTATGGCCTTGCTAGTCCTTGCTAAAAAAAATATTCTAACAAACACGATTGTAACCATGGTAGTCCTTGCAAAAATAATCTTCAAAATTCCACCATTCTTAGAATTCTTGATATCCTTAATTTTTGATAAATCACCTATTATAGCTTTGAAAGTCCTTCAAAAAATATTCCCTAAAAATTCATGTTTATTGTTTTGATAGTCCTTGCAAAAATAATCCTAAAAAATCCACTGTTGTGATGCTGAAAGTCCTTTCAAAAATATTATTCAAAAGTCGACTGTTAGAGCCTTGAAAGTCCTTGAAGAAATATTCATAAAAAAATAACAATTACAGCCAGAATTTTAATAAACCTCCTACTGTAGACTTGATAGTCCCTCCATAAAATTTCCTAAAAAACACGATTAAAGTTCCGATAGTGCTTCCAAATATATCCCTAAAAAATTAACGATTGAAGTTCTGATAGTGCTTCCAAAAATTTTCCTAAAAAATCAACGATTGAAGCTCTGATAGTGCTTCCAAAAAAATATTCCTAAGAGTACACGAGTGAAGCTACGATAGTCCTTTAAAAATATTCTTAGAAATCCACGATCATGGCTTTGATAGCCCCTAAAATAGTGTTCAAAAATCCACTTTTAGAGCCTTCATAGTCCTTGAAAAATATTCTTCGGCTTCTTGATTTTCTTGATGAAATATTCAGAAAAAATCACATTTGCAGCCTGATTTTTAATAAATCCCGTATAGTAGACTAGATAGTCCTTCCAAAAAAAAAAAAAAAAAAAAATTAATAATTAATTAATTAATAAATAAATCCTTAAAAATCCACGATTATAGCCTTGACAGTCCCTTAAAAAAACCACTACAAGAGCATTGATAGTCCTTGAAAAATATTCTTAGCCTTCTTAAGGTTCTTGAAGAAATATTCATAAAAAATCCACAGTTCTGATATGTAATTAATCTCCTAAGGTAACCCCGCTAATGCTCCCAAAAATATTCCTAAAAAAAATAAAAAATAAATAAAATTCCACGATTATAGTCTTCCCTTTAAAATAGTGTTAAAAATCCACTATTAAAGCCTTGATAATCCCTGAAAAATATTCTTAGGCTTCTTGACTTTTTTGAAGAAATATTCAGAAATATTCACAATTGCAGCCAGATTATAAAAAGTTTCATATTTTAACCTTGATTGTCCTCTAAATATATTCATAAAAATTCCACTGTTAAAGCCCTGATACTCCTTACAATTATATTCTAAAAAATCAATGTTAGATCCTCTTGATAATCCTAATAAATATTATATTATTAAAAATCGAGTGAAACAAATGATTAAAAATCCAAGAATAGAATTTCGATATTGCTAAAATGTACCTAAAAGTTCATTTTTGTCCTTGCAAAATATTACTCTTATATTGTAGCCTTGAGAGTCCTTGCAAAAATATTAATAAAAAATTAACAATATCTTCATAAGGGTCATATCATCTTATGAAGATCACAGATATCCTCTATAGGAGACCCCAAGAAGGTCTTTGATAAGACTATCTTTAATTTAAGCTATAGATGTTCTTCATCCTAGCAGCTTATCTAACTGTCACTACCCCTGAATTATTTCGTAATTATTTTCCACCATATTTCTTTTTCTACCGGAGTTACTTTTCACATTCTCTCTTAATTCCATCAGATATTAGATTGCTTGCGGTTTGTCTAATCCAGCATTTATTTTTTGCGTTAATTATAATCCACTGGCGGCGATTCTTTCCTTCCCCTCCCAGCAACCAGGATAACATCGCTTATTTCAACATTTCAGTTGATGACTGGCTAGCTGGCTGGTTGGGTGGCTATCTTGGCTAATTCTCATTTTAAAACAACTTCATTTAAGCTTTATGGGTGCTCCTCAAGATGACAGGCCATAAATTTTATGAAACTTGGTGAAATTAAGAAAACAGCAGAAAAAAATATTCATGCCACAAAAAGGAGGCCATAAACAATTGCAACAAAAAAATCTATTTAAAAAAAAAAATATTTAATGAAAATAAAAAACAGGCATGGGGTTTAAAAAAATACGCCCACCTAAACACCCCCTTTGGGGTAGTGGTGGTGGTGGCAAATTCATCATCTCTGTTTTATTAGATTTGAGGAAAGATATCTCGGGCGTGTTGGCTAGAGGGTCATTATGTGGCCTCTTAAACTTAATTAACTATAAAAACAAAATGGCTAGGTTGGTGGTGTTGTTGTTGTTGCTTTTGTTGCCTGCCTAGATGGCCAACAAACATACTTAAAGTGAAATAAAAATAAAATATAAAAACCCCCATAAACATAAGGTCTAGGCCATGAAAATTTTAATGGCCAGCAAACTAACTACGGTAGACAGACAGACAGCCAGATAGACATTCTGACAGACAACTAGACAAAATATGCCATGGACTCCTAACTGGTTTTGGTTGTCTGTTTGTTTGCCTCTCTTTTGCATAATTAAGTTATAACAATTTTTATTTGAGGGATTTTATTATTTATTTGAAACTTCCTCTCCAACTGAAACTAATTTACATTTTTCTCTCTTCCCTCTCACTCTCTTTGCAGGCTCCACTTGTGGCGTTGAACAATTCCGTTGCGGCAATGGCAAATGCATACCCAACAGATGGCGTTGCGACAACGAAAAGGATTGTTCCGATGGCTCGGATGAGTTTTCTTCGCTGTGCA